AAGCAGCAGCAGAAGTAGCAACAACCTCCCCCCCCCCCCACACACACACACACACGTGTTGGGTCAGGAGATGAGGGGGAAGGACAGCGCGTGTTTGTGAGAATGACAGACACACACAGTGTGTGACAGATTTGCATTGCCAAGCTCCCTCCACCCCCTTCTCTCTTTATGGAGACAGAGTACAGGAGTGGGGGGAGGAGGGACTCCCTGACATCAGCACCCCCCTTCTCCCTCTCACACCCTGCACAGCGAGCAGGAGGCTCCCAGGGGGGCAGATCTAAGGCAGAGGGCAGGGGCAGCATGACAGTGGGTGGAGGGCCAGTGCTCTATAGCTTCCCGGCCAAACCAGTCAGGATCACCTGTCAGAGGCTCCAAAAACTACCAGTAGATCCCAATCTATTGGTTGGTGACCACTGGCCTAAGTAAAGAATTCTGTCTGGGACAATCCAGCCTAACTGCCTTTCAGTAGCTGCCGCTGTCAGGCTCCCCTGCGCCCTTCATCTGCACATACAATTCTTGCAGCTGCATTTGCCAACAATTTGTAGTGGCAGGGAATTAAATATTTGACTGCCAGCTGCTTTCCAGAGTCCAATTAGAACTAGCTGGGCAAAGTCGAGGGCAGCAGAAAATTCTCCATTTCAGACTCCCGGCTTTTCTGCTGGAAGATGAACAGGTTCTCGGGCAGCTCTGGAACGTGTCCGGACAGAATCGGTCAGATCAGATGAGATAGCGGCGCGGGTTGTTTCACAGATAGCAATCAGCTTACAACAGCCACACACGTGCACACACACCACACACACACACAATCACCCCCACGGAAAGCCAGCGACATCATTAGACTTGCAATGGATAGGAGAGGGCAGGCGACGTGAGCTGAATTCCTGAGCGTGATGGAATCCATTTCAAAAGAGAGAGACCCAATAAAGAAGACCAATTTCTACTCCAAACCATTAAATACACCATGCTGTGAAAGTAATAATAATAATATCCCATCCAGCTATTAAAGGAATGTTGCTTTTAATGGGCTCTAATGAGGGTATCAATTTACCAGCGCTGGGTGGAAGATGGAGGGGTATAATAACAGCAAGACGGATTAATCAGCCTGCGCTGGGGTGGATTTCACCCCTG